TTGTTAGTTAAAGTTTTTATTTTACGTTAGTTTATTAGTATAATAATTAGTTAGAGTTAATTAAAAAAAAAAAAAAATTTTAAATGAAAAATTAGGAACTAGTTATTAAAACACTTGTATACTTTTTACTTAGTATTTACTTCTTTATACATTTTTTCCTAATTTTGTAGGTGGAGAGGATTTTGACCAGAGAGTCATGGACCATTTCATAAAACTGTATAAAAAGAAAACTGGCAAGGATATCAGGAAAGACAACAGGGCTGTTCAGAAGCTTAGACGAGAGGTGGAGAAGGCTAAACGTACGCTGTCTACTGCTCATCAAGCGAGGATTGAAATCGAATCCTTCTTTGAGGGTGAAGACTTCAGTGAGACTCTCACTAGGGCAAAGTTTGAAGAGTTGAACATGGTATGTTGGCTGTAAATATCTTGTTTGCAATTGGCTCGTCAGTTACTATGGAATTGGCGAAGTTAAAAAAAATATTTTGCTGAAAACTTTCTATAATATACTGTTCTGCTAAACCATCATCGTAAAAGTTTGGTTTCAATTGTGATGAATTCCCCATGGTCTTCAGCTTATCTAACTTTTATTTTTGTTCTATTCAATCACTGTCTTTATGTACTAGTGCCTAGTAAGAGGTTAAGTTCCATGTCTTTCAGTTACCAAAATATTTAAATTGTTTAGACCTTTCTAACATTGAGATGAATTATTTATTTATCTTTTTTTAGAGGACACTATCCTTATATCATTAACTAAGAAATGAAAGTGATATAAAACAGGATATTGCTAAGTTTTGTTTTTAAATGTACATACCATTAGTTTTATATTCTTCCATTTTATCATACTGATTATAAAACAAATTGTGTGTTTTTTTTCAATATTTGTAAACTACAATATCTTCTATTTGGAAACTCCATGAAATCAGTCGCATTTCCTTAAATAATCGAAACTGAGCAAATGTTATCTTCTTTACGTGCCTTCAGATATTTATTTTTTCTTGTTTCGTATTATTATTATTATTAATTTAACTTAAATTTTTTGTCTTTAAGGATCTTTTCCGTTCAACAATGAAACCTGTACAAAAAGTATTGGAAGATGCAGACTTACAGAAGAAAGAAATTGATGAGATTGTTTTAGTGGGTGGTTCTACACGTATTCCCAAGATTCAGCAGTTGGTCAAAGAATTCTTCAATGGCAAGGAACCAACTCGTGGAATCAATCCTGATGAGGCTGTGGCTTACGGTGCCGCAGTTCAGGCTGGTGTGCTCAGTGGAGAAGAGGATACAGGTACGGAAAAAAATAATGCTGTTTGTAATTGTATTAATCGTATGGATAATTGGCTCGGTCATTTTGACTAATCTCATAACCATTGTGAAAATACTTGCATTTAGTATATTAAATGGTACTAAATCACTAATGAATTTATCTACTTTTCCTGCTAACCTATAAGTAGATTAGAAAAAACTTGCTTTTACAGTGATGTTTTACATCCAAACACATTTGGCTCCTACAACAAATTGACCGTTACTGCTCAAACAGAACTATCACGTGATTTGTGGTGTACAGTCTCAATTCTTTACTGATTATACATGCGTCCAATAGCAGTTTCAGAGAGAATTGGACATTTCTTAAAAGACTGTTTGTGTGTCTGTGGGAGGGGTGTTTCCATGAGGGTTAAACAAATGTAGAAACATCTCTGTAAATGACATTAATTTTTTTTGTTTTCTTTGTACAAAAGTAACCAGCATGTGTCACCATTGTAAATTCTGTCTATTTGGATGCTAAAATAATTCAAAACAGAACTAGATTTGGTTTGGAGTGTATTGCTTTTGCTTTTAAATGAAATTTTAATTAATGTTTTAACTTTAATACAGTGTAAAAGGAACTGAACAGAATTACCAAACATTTTTTTTGTAAGTCTGTGTCAAATTACACATTACAACCTGGAATTGGAAATTAATTTACATTAACACTGCATATCACGTGCATGAGATAACTGGCTTATCTCGGATTTCTCTTTTTCTATAACTTAGGTGAATTGGTCTTGCTGGATGTTAATCCCTTGACCCTGGGCATTGAAACTGTAGGAGGTGTCATGACAAAGTTGATTCCCAGGAACACTGTAATCCCAACTAAGAAATCCCAAGTGTTCTCTACTGCTTCTGATAATCAAAACACTGTTACCATTCAGGTAAATTATCAAAAAACATTTTATGTAAATTTATCACAATGTTAAATGTACCTTGATCGTGCGTTATTTTTCTTTTGTCAGTCAAAATAGTTAAACACCTGGTTGTTTGAGTCAAACTACTGAGTGTTTGTTTTTTCTATGTGTGTTTTTTGCTTAGCTGAACATAAAATTACAGTCTTCCTTCTTATCTTCTAGAGAAATCAATTAAAGGATTTTAATTTAACTTAGTCAGCAATTAAATAAGTTGTTTTACTATGTTATTTAATATTAAACTTGGATTGGAAGTGTAATCTTATTTATGATCTGCCCTCTTTAGGTATTTGAGGGTGAACGACCAATGACAAAAGACAACCATCAACTGGGTAAGTTTGACCTTACTGGCATCCCACCTGCCCCAAGAGGTGTCCCTCAGATTGAAGTTACATTTGAAATTGACGTTAATGGCATCTTGAGAGTATCTGCAGAAGACAAGGGAACTGGGAACAAAGAAAAAATTACAATTACAAATGATCATAACAGACTCACTCCAGAAGACATAGAAAAAATGATCAAAGATGCAGAACAGTTTGCAGAAGAAGACAAGAAACTCAAAGAAAAAGTAGAGGCTAGAAATGAACTAGAATCTTATGCCTATTCTTTAAAGAATCAGGTGAGTGATAAAGAAAAACTCGGTTCTAAGATCACTAATGAAGAAAAGGAAAAGATTGAGGAAGTTTTAGAAGAGAAGATTAAGTGGTTAGAATCAAACCAGGATGCTGACACTGAAGAATTCAAGCAGCAAAAGAAGGAAATTGAAGATGCTGTTGGTCCTATTATTGCCAAACTGTACTCTGGGGCTGGAGGTGCTCCTCCTCCTTCAGAAGAAGAGGATGGTAAAGATGAATTGTAATTTATATGTAGGATGTAATTAAATTTCAGTATAAAAAAAAAAACTTTAAGGTGAGGTCAAGGAGAGTATGTGGAAACATGAAGGTCATCCAATGTGAAAATGTTTCATATGTAAAAGTGAGTAGTGGCAGCCAAGATAGTTCATCCTCATTCCAATCTCAGTCATACAGGTTGCAACTCTGACTTTCCTTGACTTTAATTTCTGAAAAGCAATCACATTTTGGTTGTTGTGTATAAGAGTGTAACATCCGGTTTTTCTTCACATTGATTTTCTTGTGGTCAATAAGTGTTTGGAAGTTGTAATTAATAAAGTAACTTAATAAACAAAAATGTACACTTAGTTGTTTCAATGTTTATTACAAGTACTTGATAGGTATATGTTTAATACTTGAGGCAAAAGTAAAATGTTTTGAAATTTATGTGACTCACTTGGAGTGTTTATGTAGCCTAAGTGACTTGCTTTCAAAACTGTCAAATGTGTTCTGTTCGTTTAAATACTTGCAGAATTAATTCTTCTATACACAAGTATACAATTATATCCTCTCAAACTAAAATCGTTGTGAATTTTGTTACTTTATTTGGATTTGAATCTAAGTTTATGTTCATGAAATTTAAAAATGTAAGGAGTGCAAAATAAAATTTCCTATTATGAATTTGGAACAACTATCCTATTTTGACTTTTGTTTTATTTATTCATTGTGATACAGACGTGGACACTGTCAAATTATACACACACACACACACACACACACACACACACACACACACACACACACACACACACACACACACTTTATAAAAGAAATTATTTGCATTACACTAACATGAATAGAATCCGAACTCCATCAGTTTACTCCATTTTGTTATAAAGGTTGTATTTTAGGACGGTTAATTGAAAATATAAGTTTTAAATAAATATTAAACACCATAGCAATGGTTAGGCGAAATTTTGAGGTATGGGATCAAAAAATTGTGGAGGAGAAAAACTACAGTAACTAAATATTTGTTTCAGGCTACGAGGTTAAAAAAAAGTTCTATTTTGATAGGTGTTCTTAGCATTTATTAAAGTTTATTGGACTGTAGAAGAGGTACTTTAACATGTTTAACGTTTAGAAGCTGTTAATGGAAACTTTTTAGGATTTCCTGTAGTCACGAAGGTAAATGGTAAAAATCATTTCTGGATACATGTATCATCAACAGTACAAGGTTCATATTTTAAAACTGACAAGTTCGTGTAACTTGAAACGGTCAATATGCTTAACTACAAAAGATGTCGGATTAAATGATGCATGATTGGTCAAATGCTCGCAACTTGGTGTATTTCGAAGTATTCTGCATTTTGACTGACACTTTTCTAACACAATACCATTCATTACTGGTAGGGTACACATATGGGATTATCTCGAGTGATTTAATATTTCACACGTAGTAATAGTCAATGCAAAGTATTAAAAAAAAAGGGTGGGGTGAAATTATTCGTTTCGTAATAAAATTTAGCGGGAACTTCACCTGTAAACAGTGAGCTAAATTGAAATATTGATGACATTTTTTAGCCAATTAGTCTATAAAACCATAGGCTCACTTAAACGTTGGTATATTAATAATTTAGAAAAGTGTGCTTAAAATGCCAGTTGATTGACAGGGTCCCTGTCGGAATTTTAGGGTTAATGCACAATTATGAGAGTAGATGCACGTAAATACGCTAGGGAACACAAGACTAAGCATACGTTTTCAGTACATTAAGTGTTAATTGAATTAAACCTGTATTGCCCTATCCTAGCATCGTTAAAATAAAAATGTGCAGGATTTATAATATTTCTCGAAATATATACAAGCTGCGTAACTGAATATTTCCACCAGTACACCAAGAAGTTTTAAAACAGATTACTAGTGTAATTTGTATATGTTTCAAGGTAGTTTTAATGGCATTGTTTGCGGGCTGACAGAATTGGTGTGGTGATGAATCAACAAAAACAAATAACATTGAAACCATATTAGATGCTTAGAATCAGCGTTGATAAGGTTATGAATTATATCTGTTCACTCCGCTGAAAGAGCTGTTTTCAAATCTTTAGTGTCTGGTGTCACTTGACAGAATGTTGTACATCTGTACATGCTAAATGGGATCGAAGACCAGAAGACTTAAAGGATCCACACGTTATTGGTCCACTGGACGAGTTTTTGGCATCATTGAAAGCAAACTATTTTGTGCCCTGCTATGAATCGAAACGTATCTCATTGGGTATCTAATATTTAAGCTGGTTCTATGAAATGTTTCTAAAGGTCAATACATTGAAATTGTGTCCAGTTGCTACTGCAAACTTGTAATTCAATCTCAGAGCCTATATCTTATAAGTGTAGAGAGTCAGAACTGACAGACAGCACTTGCCTGTTTATGTCATAAATGATGGTCAGCTTTGTCTAGGAGTTCAAACGACTGCGCCATTGATTTGAAAGTATTTCCATATTATTCTAACAACGCTATGAGACTCACAGAAATATGGACCAACTTAGGGGCCAGGAACATTCAGAAAGAGACCTGCAACAAATCATATCTTGGCCATGGTAAACGAAGACATTAAAGCAAGTTACCATATGCAGCACCTAATGACTTCTGTGTTATTAGACTGTTGAAATGGGTATTGAGAAACAGATGTTCTCATACAGTAGATGGATTATGGAAAATTAACAGGAGAAAGAGTGTGCTCTAAACATAACAACCTTATGATTGGGCCTTGTGCAATGGAAATCATGCTGTTGCGCTACTGTCAAGATAGTTGTCAGATGGAACATGGTGGCATAGACTCTAACAACATGGTGAGGCTCCAAAATCATTTTAGCATAACGTACTCAAACATTATAAATTCTAGCCTAAAGTAATTACAAAATTAACACTAAAAATCTCAGGTATTCATTTGAGAGTTTTTTCTTCATCTTGTTGGGCCTATTGGTTAGCGTGCTTGGACAGTGATTCTAGGGTTCATAGTTGCGGCTTATTGGCAGAAAAATGTTCTCTGCATTTCGTGGACGTGAGAGTGCTATAAAAATGATGGTCAAATCTCACTATTCGATGAAACAATAGCAGTCCAAGATTTAGTTGGTACTGTTGAGTGACTATATGCATTTTCTTTAGTACATCAATTCAAAGTAAGACAGCTATCGTGGATGGCCCTTTGTGTAGCTTCCACAAAATTTCTAAAATGAGCAAATTTTTTAACTAGTTGTAGTCATGATTAATAGCCTAATTACTAACTAGTTGTTATCCTATATTCAAGTTGCTAATCTGACGCCTGTAACGGGAGTATGGGCTTAGTCGTTAGGTTCGACTTTACATTCGTTACAAAGAAATGTATTTGGATTTAGGGTCGTGCTTTCGCGAACGGATCACACAAGTCACCAACTTGAGGAAGTTTTAGTGTGGAATAAAGAACTCACACGGAGACAACTGAATACAAATCAAATAAGCTCTTTATTTGTATAGGGTTGAAAAGTTCATTTATATCGAAACTCCCAAAGTTATCTTGAAACTACACTAACCCTAAATCATTGAATTACTGTAGATGCTCATGAATAAGACCTGTTATGTCCAATAACATAGACACAACATTAGTTAAGTTATCAACAAAGGTAACACGAGAAAATCTCTCGGTCATAATCTATATAACTGCATTAACAATTCTTCTAAGATATCGTTCAGTAGTTTCAGTATACGCATTATCAAGCCTACTATTTCTTTAGTACAGTTGGTATTCTTCGTTTTTCCCTATTTATATATTGGCACAGCGGTATGTCTGTGTACTTACAATGCTAGAAATTGGGTTTCGATACCCGTGGTGGGCAGAACACAGATATTCCATTGTGTAGCTTTGTGGTTAATTACAAACAAACTTTATACATTATTGAACCTTAGGTGAAATACTTTTAGACTAGATTAGAAATAGCATACTTACAAGGAGTTTGTATGGCGAACTTGTAAATTTTGGATTACTACCATCTTATTCTAGAGTTGGACCAGGTCCTCGGAGCAACTTGATAAGTGTGGAGAAGTCGGAAACACGGAATTATATACACAATTTTTAGTGTTTTTCTGGTTGTTCAAGAAGTTTAGTAGATCTACTTTAAAAAACAGTTTTTAACTCGATTGGTACAAGTGGGATCTTCCAGTAACAAGTGAACTATTCCATCAGGCTGTAACCAAAATCCACTTTATTATTGGTCCTTACATAATTTATTTCTGTCCCTTATCTAATATCTTTGATGAAATCATCCAAGACATTTACCTTTAATCACCGTCCAGTTAACTGCTTAATTTTGGGACATTGGTTCATTTTTACATGTGTTTTATCTAACTCTTGGGGTTTTCTCAACATGTCTGTCTGGCTCGAGGATTGGTAGCTGTGAATTTTTACACCTCTGAGGTCACGACTGAATGTCTCTGGCTAACACCTGTGATGGGCTTCAAGGCTGTAGCCTGTATCTTCCTTATTTGGTACTGTGGCTCACAAGTGTCCACGTTTTTCTTATAACATTTTCGATCTGCTGATTTCTCCATACTATACGTTAAAAATAATTAAAATGTACTTCTTGAAAACTATTAAATATGTATATATTTAGTATTTGTATTCCACAGATACTTCACGCCATCTTTAGAGAAGCTCTGAGAAGAAATATGTCCGAGTTCCCCAATCATCACAAATAAAGCTATCCTCTCCGGCCCCTGGTTAACTGTAGAGATTCATAATGGCACCCTTTAGCTAAATATGTGATAGATATTAACAAAACTCAGTCCCCTTAGTCAACCTAACATAGAAGTCAACAAATAGTTTGTTGATTCGAGATATAAAGGGTTACTCCATATTGCCATCAATAACACCCAGGATTGAAGCCAATTCACTACTAAACTAGATGTGTGGAGTTGGGCTTTTGTGTAGTGTTAATTATATGACTGCTTCTGTTCCAGGTCCGTTCTAGATTTTTAATTTTTTATAACTTAGTTTATTTTCTTATTTCTATTAGCGGTTGCATTAGACATTGTTTTCATACAGTGGCTCACTTCAACTAGAGTTTGGAGCAAAAAAGTCAGCAATCAGTTAGTTGATGCAAGTTATAATAAGAGTGACTTCAGCCCAAAGGATAATACACCAGTTTTCAGTCAGGGTCGAATTCCGGGTATGCCCTTACAGAAATAGTCATTCTCAGGACTTCCCTGAAGTTAGCAGCCGAAAGGTAGGATAAAACTAGTTATGATGTAGTAATAAAAAAGCTACTGTTTATAATTAGACTTGAGTGATCGTAAAGGCTATAAATCATGACAGTGATTGACATCCGATCGTCACACTGTAACTACTCTACAACTAGTTTATTTTTATTTCTAATTGTTACTGTTTAACATAAAGTGTTTCGTGGTTCATAATATTCATATCTGAAACACCCCAAACGAGTTTTTCTTCTTTCTTTCTATAA